AGGGGCAGCAGCTCCTGCCTTCTTTGCAGCTCCGCGGCCAGGGGTGGAAGGAAGCTGCAGCCGCAGCCCCAAGTCAGCCCCCGCTGCCCCGTCCCACCGTCTCATTTCTCCCCTCTCGGTACGGAATTTTCTGTTTCGTTCGTTTGCTTCCCCAGACTTCCTCCTCCCCTGGGTGGTGGCAGAGACGGGAGGGGAGAGAGGGGAGGCTGATCGCCTGTGAGAGTAGAGGGGACAGGAGCGCCTAAAGACTTCTGGCTTGCAGAATCTCACCTTACACCTTGGATCGAGTGCCTCTTGCTTTGGGCAGTGACCTCTTGCCCACTTAACTCAACCCTGGCTCTGGGCTGGTCGTAGCCGGGCTGCACAGGAAGCCACCGGGCATCCTGGGGGAAGGGAGTTCAATGGTTAGGTCGGGCAGCTGGTGGGATAGTGGAACAGTGGGGCTCTGAGTTGTCAGGGGCTGACCTGGGGTCCTTGGTGATTGGCTTCTGTCCTTTCCTGGGTGAGTTTAACCTAGGGCATGCAGCCCCACAGAGAAACCTAATTCTTACATAGGTGACCCTCTCACCAAACAGTCGTCTCCCAAGACCCAGCCTAGAATGACGCTCTAAGGGATAGTGGTATTGTAGGATGAGAGGCTAAGTTACTTAGTGTTGGCAGTGGTGTCGGGGACGGGGGAGGGGGAAGGATGGTGTCACTAGACACTTGCGTGACTCTTTGGTCTTTACTCCTTCTTGTTATGAGAGGCACATCTCCACCTGCACTCTCACCTTCTTCTCTGGCTCCCAGAAAGCCGACCCTCTTGAACCCTCCTGGAACGGGTTGAATGTTCCCACCCCCATAACAAGCTTGAGACTTCTACCTGCAACCTGCAGGCGCTTAGGTCCGCTAGCTGGCAGCATCTCATGGCCCAGCACACAGCCCAAATCTCGGCTTTGTCTTTTTCTCTCTTACTGCCTCTCTCTGAAAAAAGGAAATGTGAGGCTCTGTTTTTCTGGATGCCTGGCTGGTACCTAAAACCTCTCCTCCCCCCTCCTCCCAGCCCATCCATTCTCAGAACAATCCTGAGCTCTAGGAAAGCTCAGCTGTACTTCCCGTTGTCGCCTTAATGCCTTGAGCACACACTTTCAACCCGAGTACAGCTTTAGAAAAAGCCAGGATCCTCTTCCCTGCCTAAATGGCTGAATATTTCCATTGCTGTTCCTCTGAAACTGGCATTAGTTATGTTCAGTGGGGGTCCTAACAACTCTCTTTGCCAGGCTAGCCTGACAAAGTCCCTGGAGGTAACAAGTAAGACAGTTTTCCTTAGATCCTCTAGCCCCAGGGTGGTCTAATATTCTGGAGAATATTAAGCTTTTGTAAGGGAGCAGGGCACTAGAAAAAAAACAAAAGTACGACCTTGGGGGATTGTGAGTTTGTGTGTTGGGATCCCGGGAAAGGGGTGGGGTGCAGGTTGAGGGTGGAGTTTCCCTCTCCACACTGTTTAAATACTTCAGAAAGTGTTTGTAAGACTGGGCAGAGGGATAGCTGAAAAAAAAATCACTTCATTCTGAAAACTTTCTGCCTTTCTCCCATTCAAAGGCAATTTTATTGTGACCACCCACCAAACTCTAATGTACAAACAAGAGAGATCTATCTTGTAGTTAAACCTATTCTTCATCTGACATGAGGGGTGAATAGGTTATTTTAGCTGTAGAGACTTTGGGGGAATTTCCCTATCTCTGACCAATATGTAGTTCAGATGGGGCTTCCACTCCAAGCCCAGGATATAACTAGGAGCAATTAGTACTCAGGGAGAAAGAAAGCCCTATTCTTGTGAATTGTTTCCTTCCAAGGCTCTAAGTAAGTGCAATTATCTTTAACTTATGGGAATTATGTGCGCTTCTAAATTTTGGTGCTTTCTCTGTGGATCGTGGATAAGACTAAAATGTCTCAAACATGCTTTCTGTACTCTAATATGATCAGATCAAGGATATATAAAGGAAAACCTTTTCAAAAGTTAAAAACACCATACAAATAACAGACATTACTATACAAATTTCAGAACAAGCCTACAAAATGATTTCCTATTTCTTTGCCTGGGTTGCTTGTTAGCCTTGAGACTGGGTGGCTCATCTTTGTCTAGATGTGGAAATATTCTGATTTTCTACTTGGTGGCTGAGAGTGTATGTTTGTCTATCTCCCCCTTCAAGAAAGATTGTAGGGGCTGGGGCTGGGGCTCAGTGGGAGAGTGCTTGCTTAGCCTGTGTGAGGCACTGGGTTCAATTCTCAGTACTGCATATAAATAAATGTCCATCAACAACTAAAAAAAATTTTAAAAAAGAGTAAATTGCAACCAGAGACCATGTCTGTAAAAGTGGATCAAAGCCAAAAATGGAAGCAGCAATCTTAATAATTTAAGCCTAGATCTACCTATCTTCTAGGCTAGGTTGTTCACATGGCCTGGTTTATTCAAACACTAAGGCTAGTATTAACTGTCAAAATGGAATTAAAACTTAGTTATTCAGGTACACTTTTTCTCTTTTCCAGCCTTGACCATAATGGTAAATAGTAATGTAGATCAGAATTTAGTGTAGAACCATAGATGTCAAGAGACTAATATGAAGAACCCAGATTTCATTCTCCTTAAACAGGATTTCTCAACCTTGATACTATTGACATTTTAGGCCAGATGATTCCTTGCCATGAGTACTGTCTTGTGCATTGTAGAATGTTTAGCAACAATCCCATCCTCCATCCACCAGCTGCAATCCCCGCCCCCCGGGTCCCTCACAGTTGTGATAATCAAAAATGCCTGCACACATGGCCAAATGGTGGAAAAATCACACAACCTTTAGAACTACTGACATTTAAGGTAGTATCACATTTAAAAGACTTAATTCTTTCCATGTGGCATGTCCAGACATGGTATTAAAAACAAAATCTTAGAAAATATGGAATATTTGTGAGGGAACGGCATAGAAAGGAGCCCTCACAAATTTATATTTTGACAAATGGTAGAATTCAGTGTTATCATTATTGTAACCTCCATATCACCCTCTAACTCTTATCCAGCATGTACTGTGAGCGGAATGTTGATTGTAGTAAAGATCTATAAAGGAATAGTTCCAGCCTTTAATATACCAAGAAATTAATGATCTTTATTTCCCCAAAGGGAAAGAGTTACTGGTTTTTACAGATAACCGATTTCTGGATTGAATCCAACCTGGCTTTGTCTCTCTTCTATTTCCTATTTGTCCCCAAACAGTGACTTACTCTTTCAGGTTCTGCCTTAGAGAGATTGCTCTTTGTCTTGTTAATTACCAAAGCCTTACATTGAATTTCTTGTAACTTCTATATGGGCACTTGTGCCTTAACAATGTGTCCAAGCATCTAAATGACCACAACATTATGGAGGTTGTAATAAATTGAGCAATTTGAAGGCAGATTTTTGTTTTTGAGGAAACAGCTCCTGAGTATTTATGTGTTAAAGAAATACTCAACAATGGCAAAAGCAAAGGAAATGGAATGGAATGTAAGAAAAGGTAATTCTTAAAATACTGTCAAGTGTGGAAAAAATGTCTTGGTGTGATTGTAGGTTTTTAACACTCAGCATTAGCATTATCTCTGCCCCAGGAAGTCAAACAACACTAATGCAAGTTGTAGGATCCTGATCAGAAATTCAGCAAAAGGAAAATGCAGAAGGAAGTGTGGTATATTTGCTGAAATCAGCTGAGTAAGCTTCTGCCCTAGTAAATAAGTTTCCAGGGAGGGGTAGCCTGGACTACATCAATTTCATTTGCTTTGAATAACTCCTAGCCCAATACCATGCAACATGTCATTTGTAAAGGCCAACACGGAGAACAACAATTACCACATTCAAATTTTGCACATTCATAAATTATGATGTTCTTGCCAAAGCTAATCATTTCTTTAAATAAAAGTTTTGCCTGAATTGGGACCATGAATGACTGTAATTGAAAATATGTTTTATTTTTCAAAGGTACATTTAAGCTCATATCAGAACAGAATCCCTGTAATCAAGGCATAAGGTCTTAAATTAAGTAGTGATTAATCTTAATAAAAAGAGTGTAAACAGAAACATATTTTATGTATTAGGTAAGGCCTCTGCTATACTCATCACTAATAGGAATGCAAGTGGAACTAGAGCCGAGAAAATTTTTAAAGTGGAATTATAGAATCACAGAATTAGAGAACAATTGGCCACTGAGAAGGGACTTTCCTGAGGTTAAATGATAGTGACAAAAACTCTGATCTGCTCTTGATGCTCTGTGACTGACTCTGTGTGACCTTAGGAATGGCAGGTGTAGTCTTCACTCTTCTGGACCCATCCCTAGCTTACTAAAATATGTCCTCATGGAATGATATGATCTGCCCTAATCACTATACCAATGTGTTCTCTCTCCAAGGGGATAGCTTGTTTTCAGCCTATTTTTTTTTTCTATTGTGGGAAGAAAAGTTCTACTCCCTTAGTAAAGTGGCTTAAAGCATGAGTAGACAGCTGTGTTTGTGGGTGAGGACTTCTGGAGGACACTGAAATCACCTCAGTTTCTGGTCAGGTCTTGTAAAATGTGGGAAGTCTGGGAGCAGGGCCGCAAAACTTTGTTTATTCTGTCTTTTTAAGGGTGGGCAATTTTTTTATATCCGAGAGGGCTTAGTGCAAAAATGAACTTCTAATTTGAATATTTTTCTCTGGAGAATTTATTTTAGTGAAGGAGTAGCTGGGAGACTATGCTTTATTCTTGACCAAGATACAAAT